TTGATGCTTTTAAACCTTCTTATTCTATGGCACAAGTGTTTAGATGCCAATCTCCATTCTTTACTTGTTACAAGATTCTGGTACTGATTATCTTATGCATTATAAATATTCATGCATCATTATATTTGATATGCCTTGGCAATGTTGAGGCATAATCCATTAGTTATGTTGTTTTACAAAAGAGATGCAAGTACAATATTGCATTGGTAATAATTAGTTAAGAAGACACAGGAGACTACCAGTCCTAGGATCTGAGAAATAGATTAGGCAAGATGAACTCAAGTAAATTTCTTGGTTCAGCATGATAGTAGTGTAACATAAAAAGAAAAACTAATTGCCTGCAACCTAATGGATATGTGTCCGGCATGACAGTAGTATGAAGTGCCAAGATCAACCCCAATGCTTTTCACTTCATTGACTTCAAGATACATACCCTCACTTGTTAATCCATATGCCTCTCTTCTAAAAGCATGGGTCCAGAATTCACATATAGCAAGCAACTCATTGTTTCATCTCCCTTCTTACTATGCTGAATCCTTTTCCTTACATAGGACAGTTGCTTGCTAGCTCATGTGAAGCTGATCCAGCTCGTGGTTTTTGTTATATGACTAGTAGCCGTGCAAAACAATGGGACATAATGGGCTTGACACCCATGACTTAGGCAGTCTATCATGGGATGACCACAGTGAGGACTTGAAAACACATTAGACCATTATTTCCTATAGGTAACATGCTAAAGAATCAAATTTCAACTTCTGGCCATTGAAGTACTTAACCAACAATTCTTACAAAAACCTATGTTCTTGTACATGCCATATTTTTGGATGGCATGAGATTACTCTTGCACATTATAGCTTTGAGTTAAAGTGTTTAACATTATCTACCTTGAAATATGAGAATTTTGTGATCAGAAGGTAAATTTTAGACCTACCTTAAAACAGAGGTTGTAGTCATTACAGCAGACTTGTTATTACTCGATTTGTCACTAATGACTTCTTAAATCAGAATTGGAAGCAATAAGATAAGGTCCTTCATGGTAGTCGGTTCCAAAAGTGGAAATGCAAATTCTGTGACCTGTATGCAGCGACCATTAGTCACTTGCCCTATGTCAAAAATCTTTTGCATTTTGTCACTGAATCCCTCCAACAATGAAAGAGAATTCCGAATTAGACAGATTGAGAACAGTAAGTGGTTATTAGTCAAATTTCAAAATAATTTTGTTTGTTTTAGTCTTCTTTTTGCTGTTGCTGAAATTAACTTGTTTCTTTTCAAGGACTACAAATGTCTCATAGAGCTTTAACTTATATTACGACAATTGATAACACAAAGATTCTTCTTGACATAATGGATGCCCAGCGAAATTACTAATTATTATAATGGTTATAATGATCCTTTACAAGAGTTCTCTCTTGGTTAAGATGCAAAACTATTTTTCATGAGAGATTCTTATAAACTATCATAACAGGAACAAAGGAAAATAGTGGTTTTTTCGTCAATCTATGACAGTATTATAAAAATAAGCTAGTTCTCGGTGTCATTGAGATAGAGACAGTGAACAGGAGTCATTATTTGCTGTCATAATGTGTCTTCATAACATATAGTAAAGGTATATAATGGCTGTTACCTTTTGCACATCAATAAATTTAAAATCATATTATGGATTATTCTAGACCGTGCATTTTGTCCTCTTTTACTTTTATTTTATTATGTTGTCATGTCCAGATTTTATGGAGTTGTACTTCTACAGCAATGCTTGCTGTAACCCCTTTTTCACTATCCTTGGGTGTAGGGGAATATTCGGAATTGTCGTTCAATACATGCTTATACTACAGAATTAGATACATATTTTTATGCACAAAATAACCTTATGGGTTGTGCAAATGATGTCTTGCTTAGACTTGCTTTGGCTAGGGATACTGGTGCCACCTTTATTTTGTTGACATTAAAGTGAAAGAAAATAACTTTGTCAAGTCTGCTGTGGGACCTCCTTGATTTTGAGTTGGAAGAACTTGATCATTGATGCTTTCTTTGTTGGCCCATAAATACTAGTCCCCTGTACTGAAAAAATTTTCCATCCCTTTTTCCCTCATATAATTTCTACTCTCACTTTATCTCTATATGTATTTGAATATGTTCTATTTATCCTGTGTTGCAGATCTATCCATACCTAAGTGTGTTTTATGCACAGTTGAGTTCATTCTACCTATAATAGAATAAAAAGCTAGGACATTGATGGACTAGAAGTTTTATATTGGAAAGGACAAGGACAAAAAAGTTATAAAGTGGTCCAGTGGAGCCAGAGCCCTATATATAAAAAGGCTTGATTTTATATAGATTATGTCATGGGCAATGGACATGTTAGATCAAAGCTCAATGATGAGTACTTTCTTCTGTTTTGTCCATTAACCGCATTAAGACTTCAAATTTTAGCTATTTACAGTTTGGCCCAGTTTTGTTTTGTCAGGCCATGATTCATTTCGCAATATATTTGTCCATATTATATTTTGCCTCGTGATGAAAACCTCTCAGCTGTTATCTATTTTGAAGTTTAGAAGATGATTTTCTCGCAAGAAATCACAACTGTCATTAAGTCTAAGGAGTGCCTTGCTGTTGGAGTGCATAAGGCATCTATGGGTGTTTATTTGACAGCCACTAATAGCGCATCCATCTTGGGTTTGTTGTAAGGCTCGTCAAGGGATGGAAGTCTGCTGGGAGCCTGAAGGCCTCTGATAGTCAGGTCCTACCTTCAAATGATCGGGCCTTCCTTGATCATGTTCTTAGTGATCTCAGTTCCTTGTGTCCCTTCGCTTTTGTATCAACCACATGTCATTTCAGCATCATGGTATCTGTTGCTGACATTGCATCTACTCAGATTGTCAACATGCGTGTATGCTCTCTTACTGCTGAAGTGGTGTTTGTCTGGTTCCTAACTGCCACTCGCATGTCATATTTTGTAATGTCTGTGGTTCCAAAATGGAACCTTTATGTACATCCAAATATTCAGGCATGCTATGACTTCGTATGATGGAATAAGTTTCAGGCATATTAAATAATGTAGTTTAAACCATAGGTCTGCAAAGTGAACCAGATGACAACAATAAGCCACAGGCAAGTATTTTGTAATTTACTATGGTATCAAGTGCCAATTGTTACCATTATGTTAGTGGGTATATTTTCTAGATATAATTCCCCGTACTTGCATTTCATATGCCTATCCAAATTTCTATTTTTATTTGTTTAAAATGAAATATCCAGGTCGTGTTTAAGAAAGCATAACCTTTTGGAAGAGATTTGTGTTGCATTTTTGGATATGCACATTTACGTTGTGAAGTTTCTCGTTTGGCTTTCTGATGCAACTTAGATCAACTAACTACTATTAGAATATCCTCAAAACTGTTTTGTTCTCAGGTTTCTGTTGAGGAAGCTAAAGATACAATTTCTCTTTGGTACGAAGAAAGAAAAGAAGTTCTACGCTGGCAAAAAGAACGCAAAAAGGAAGCAATTAAAAGCAAATGCGTCAGGACGTTGCTTGGACGACCGCAGCATTTTCCTTTGGTGGAAACTGTAAGCAATGCTCAGATGGGTCACATTTTACAAGCAGCTATTAATACTCCAGTACAGGTATTGCTTCACACTGACCGTGGCTTACTATTCATTATGAAGGACTTGTTATTGCCATCAATTATTGATGTAGGACTAGTTTTGATACCAAATATAATGTAAAATAATACATAGTGCTGTCATCTTTAGTCCTTTTGTTCTATTCATTCCATTTCATTGGATGCCTCAACAAACTTCTTTTGGGTTTTGCATGAAATAAACTTTCGATTTTTTTTTACATTCTACCTACTATTGTGAATGTATTTGATGTTTGAGATAAGCTTTATTTATTTTTTCTAATATTTGAGATTTTGTCACCCTATGAATATTATGTACTTCCAGCCTTTTTGAAGTTAAAATTGATATCTTGATTTGTTTCTGTGATGGAATTTTCACGGCTGGAATGTGTTTTTATTTTGGGAAACTAGAGGTAACAAATCCCATGACATGGGCCATTTCCTGCTTTTTGGCAAACACCATGCGTTGTGCCAGCTGACCGGCAATACTGCTCCAGCAAGGAATTAGTGTGTCTAGGAACACCAAAAAACATGGACCATATGTACAATTTAAATGTTGAAATGGAGCTAATGGATGCCTATGTCCATTTCATTCTTTTTTTTTTCTCCTGTTCTTTGTTTCTGTTGCACTTGGTTGTTTTGCAGTTGGAACTCTAAACATCATGCTATACTTATGAAACTTTATCATTTTTTACAGAAGAATGATTCTCCTCACTTTATCATTTTATGCTTTTCTAAGTCATTTGATGCTTATAGCTGTCTCATGAAACTTCTACACTTCATCAAACCTATTCAAGATTTTCATAATCTTCTAATTTAACAGGGAAGTGCAGCAGATGTTGCCATGTGTGCAATGCTCGAGATAGATAGGAATATTCGTCTGAAGGAGCTTGGATGGAGATTGCTATTGCAGGTTAATTTATCATATTGCTAACTTGAGTTTGCAGGAATTCCACCAGCCACTTAATAGTCCTCGAATGAATATCCTAATAACTAGCCAGTCTCATCTTAACCCTAGCAGAATTTGTCGTGATTTCTTTTTCCATGGCTGTTTTTGAAAAGTGATGTTATATTAATTTATCATAAGGTAGATTTATTTAAAAGAAATGGATGGTTAGCATGCTATTTAGCAAGAGGCATGATTTTGTGATCATAAAAAGATTTCCCAAGCTTTTGTTGGTTTTAGTGGGTTCTCCAGAATAACCGCCAAATTTTACTTGTAGAGGTTAATGTTTGAGTTTGTCTAAGCTTCTTTTGGTTTTAAGCATTTAGTGGTGCATTGTTTCTCTAAATGATTGTTGAATAGTAATTTTTTGTTTATTGAATTTATTTCTTTCTTCCTAGTGTTAATTTCTGCTGTTAATCCTACATTTTTTCTTTCCATCTTTTTGTTATTTTTTCCCTATTTTGCATCCTTGTTACTTTGATATTGTACTTCCATAGGCTCTTAAATAACGGTAATTTAAGTCAAACATAGATTTTGATCATATGGAGGCTTGGCTTTTCATTGGTTAGTGGATGATAGACCTTTCCAAAAGATCCTCTTTTACACAAATAAATGGAACTTTGCTTAGAATTCCATAAAGTTTGTTATGATCATTACTTTATTCTGTTGCCCGAGAAGTAAAGAGTCCTTTTCTGGGGACCTTGGTGTTCGATGCCCTGTTCTTGTCTCTTTTGAAGGATAAGTGTGAGATCATCAGTAGCATCTTATGCATTCTTTAGAAAAAAGAAATTTCTTGTAATTCAATCTTCGGTCAGTACTGATCCTCGATGACCTCATTTAGTTGGAGTGTTTTTATTCAAAGTTTTTTATGACAAGGTTGCTCATATGGTGATCGTATAATGTTGTACGAGATTTAGGTCCTTTGTCCAAGTCTCAGTTCTCGCTAAGCGATGCTGCGCCATGCATCTTTCTTTTAAATTGTTTTAGTTTGCAGTATTAGCATTCCTGGTTATTGTTGACTGACCAGATTTCCTCTAAATCAGAGAATTGCTAATGGTATTCTGTGGCTGGATTCAGGTGCATGATGAAGTAATACTGGAAGGACCAACGGAGTCAGCGGAGCTCGCCAAGGCCATCGTCGTCGAGTGCATGTCCAAGCCCTTTTACGGCACGAACTTCCTTGAGGTTGACCTGGTGGTGGATGCCAAATGCGCACAGAGCTGGTATGCAGCCAAGTGTTGAGCCCGGGGTGATTGGTAAAGGGTGGAGGGGTTTTTGTTTTTGATGAAAAAAAATTGGTGTAGTAGGTAAAAACCAATTAAGAGTGATAGAAGATTATGGTATAGATAAATATGATAGTATAACTTTACACTCCTTATGTTTTTTTATCCTTAATCAATCTATGATTTGAGGATTAATCGTAAATTGAAGTATATGATTAAATTTTTTTTTTCTCAAAATAATGAATGATATCATCATTTTCATAACATATTCATCAATTTATCGTGATATCAGAGTTTTCTTGATAAAAGTTAGGCTCTCTTTTTTTTGCTCTTTTTCTCGTTATCTTGTTGATTTGTTGGCGATTGTTATTTCTTTTTTGATCTCCTAGTGTGTTTTGCTCTACAACAAATTTTATTTACTTTTTTAATTTAATCAGTCTCTTTTAGTGATTGACTTACTTTGACCATCGCTTTAGTGGGCGTTCTCTCTGTCTCTGCTCCTACATTAGTGTTTATTATCTAGTGTCTTCATTCCCATCTCATTAACTATCGAACTCACTAGCACCTTTAATCCATTATTGATCTCTTTGTAATAGTCCATTGCCTTCCACTAACCTTTCAACCACTCCTTAAGCCCCTGTGATCGAGAGGACTTCGTGAGGAAGAAAGATATCGTCTTCTTGTCTTAGATTAGATCCATTTTTATGCACTTCTCAGATTTGGTCTCTGATTGGTCTCTAATAAATTAGAACTTCGTCACTAGTGTAACTTCTTCATCTATTTTTCTGCTTGATGTTTGTCATCTCCTCGACCAAGCGATACCAAAGTGTATCATTTCGATTAAGTACATGTCATTAATTATTCACTAATTTTCATATATTGAACACAACCCAGTAATACCATTAAGCTTAACATAATATGATAATATATTTTAAAAATAATATTTTTAAATCACATCAAATCATTAATTTTAATGCTATCATAAGTTCTCCACTTGAGCCTACTAAACCTACAACTATCATCCAAGTCAATTTTTTTAAAAAAAAATGATATCTTTAAATCACATCAAATCATTAATCTTAGTGCTATCATAAGCTCTTTACTCGAGCCTACTAAACCTACAATCATCATCCAAGTCAAAAAAAATTTCAAATTAACGCAATGTCATGTGTGAGAAATAATATGCATTACTCTATAATACCGTATGAACTCTATTACTATCTCACATCATATAAAATGTTTTCGAGTATAAGTAGATTTTTTGAATTAAGCATAATTCAAATGGATCTATTGCGAGATACAAATCACTTCTAATAGCCAAAGGGTTTCTCCAATGATCATGTGTTGATTTCATGCAAGCCAATTGTTAAACCAATGATAATTTGACTTATCTTAAATTTGACTAACACTCAAGGTTGACATGTATGTCAACTTAATGTTAATAATATTTTTTTTATAAGAGGCCTTAACTAAATATGTCTTTATGTAGCAACCCTCTAGATTTATCTACCTTCAATATCCAAATCATATTTGTAAACTATGAAATGTTATTTATAGACTTCTTTAACCTTTAAGAGCCTAGTATATTAAACTTAGCTCGTTTTTTTTTATGTTAGTTGGGTTCGTCAATTCTAAGTCTGACACTTTTTTATTCTTACGATAATAAAAGGGATATATTATATATCTACTGGCTATATGGATGATATTATCATCGTACGTAATAATTCTATGAAGATCAAGTAATTTATTAAGCAATTGACAGATCGATTCTACATCAAAGATCTAAAAACCTTATGCTATTTTCTGGGACTGAAAATAATGTTTACATCTTCTAAGTCTTTTCTATCTTAAAAATATATATATTCTAGATCTATTATCAATGATTGACATGTAAAATACCAAAAAGTCACCACCCCACTCCTCACCACATAGTCACTCCTAACTCGGTATTCTACTCATGCATGAAATGCATTATTATTGATTTTCACTTTGTTAGAGATCAAGTTGTCAGACGTCAACTGCATGTTTCTTATATATATACTTCTAAACAACTACCAAACATCCTCAGAAAGCTTCTCGCTCATAGGATATTTCAGTTCCATCAGTCTAAGATTGACATTCTTGACAAAAGAATAATCTTATGAGGACATAATTATAGATTATTATAAAGGTAAATATGAAATGATAACTTTGTATTCCTTGTGTACTCTAATTTTTAATTTAGGAATCAATCATATTTGAATGCATATTTGAGAAAAATCTCTCCCTCAAAATTTATATCAATATACATTACTTGAATGAATAATATCATCCCTTTCATAATAAATTCTTCAAGAAGAATGTTATTGGGTAAAAGTCCAATAATAAAGTTATTTTAGGTAAAATGTCTATAAAAGAATTTAGTGGACACAAGCCCAGAATCATACTAGAACCCACTCATATTGGTAGAATCACATGATGAAATATATGTTCCCATGGTCATAACTCTATTTAAATAAATATCAATTTTTTCTACAAATATCAGGTCTATTTAATAATAAAATTATTTTTAAAGCAAAACATATTATGATATTATCAAACCTATTCTCAGTTTTACTATGTTAATGTTAATAAGTATTTTTTGGCATCATTCATCGATGAATTATGATTTCTTCCTACAAATAGACATTGAGTCTCAAGGTTTTGATGAGAAAAAAAGGCAAGACATTTATCTCTAAAATTTGTTTTGAGAGAGTCAAAGAGAAAAGTTCTTTAGATTTATTAAAAGGTATGCAAGATGAGTCATACTTGAAAGGGGATAACTCAGAGGCCTTATAATTAATCTCATATATTGATTTTTTCTCCTTGGATGTAGGCGAGTATTATTACTTATATTTACTCTCAAAATGATTATTTTGATTCATTGAATAATAAGTTGACTAGTAAATTGAACATGGGTGATGATTTCAATGATAGAGGTCGTGTGTATCGATAAAGTAAAGATCTAAACTGTTAGGATCAAGTTAGTACTAAGAAGGGGGAGGGGGGTGAATTAGTGCAGCAAATAAAAATGACATCGATTAGAAAACTCTTCATTTTGATTAAAATCGATTCAGAAGATAACTTGTAATTGAATGCTTGTTCATAACCGTAGTGAAAGCAAAGTAAGGAAATGCCAATAGTAGAAATGCAAACCAATTTATATTGGTTCGGTCGTTGTGACTTACATCCACTCCTGATTCCTCTTCCGTTGAGACAATCGATTTCTACTACCGATTTTCTTTCAACGATCTAAGATCAACTATCCTTTTACACCCCTCTTCTTATTTTCACAGGTTTAGAAGACAACCTTTTACAAGCACTCACTCCTCCCTAAATAGAATTCTAAACTTAGAACTATAGGAGGTGATCTCTCAATTGATTGCTACAACGTTTTTCCACTTTTAAGCACTTTGTACTTGTGTATGTTAACCAGGGATGAGAGGGATATTTATAGGCATTAAGTGGATTCAAACTTTGAGCCTAAAGGTGTCTCAACCCCGGTTTTTGGGGTACTAGCGGTACCACCGCTTGTGTTGGGCGGTACCACTGTCTACAGCACTAACACTAGATGGTACCACCGCCCATACCGACGGTACCACCGCTTAACAATCTCGTAGACTCTAGGCAGTACCATCGCCCAGACTAGCAGTATCACCACTTGACATTGTCTCGGAGATCGTGTCACCACCCAGACTCTAGGCAATTTTCACTCTTCTTGGCCCGATGCTTGATCTCATGGCCCAAGGCATTCTGTCGATACATCGATCGATCCTCCGGCTTAACGTCCAATCTTCTAACATGTTCTACTTCGGCCTTACATGATTCTTCTTGCTTTAATTGTCTCTCCCTGATCGAAGTTTCCCACGTCTCTCAAAACACAGATTAGATCATAAACACTATTAATTGGTTTCATCATCAAAGCATGAGATTTAACAAAAACATCTAATGGAGTAGTGCATATTTCATAGAATGTAGCTTATGTTTCAAAGATACGAAAAATCTAATTTCTTTGAAGTCTTTTAGATTATCAAGGTTATAACTATAAGGTTAAGGTAGAGTTCCAAAAGATACTCGGGGTTACATAGTCTTAATGAATGAAAGATTATGCAATCTATAATAAAGTACAATAAAGATCATGTAGAGGATTGTAGGTACCTACAATTACGAGCTTCATTTATTATAAAAAATAAAAGATAATATTTATGAATTTTGAGATGCAAATAGTTATAAGGAAAAAAATATTATGTTTGTGGTAAGACCATGAGATAAAAATCTCTCTTCGGAATCAAGTAGCGCATTGATAGCTTTATTAAAATTAAGCATTGAACCATGAACTGCTTCGGTTTGAGTAGCTATGGTAAATTCTTCAAGTCAATGGTTTAATTTTTACAAAAGATACAAAAGTAAAAAAATACTTACCAAGGTAGAGATTATTAAGATTGATAAGTATTTTTAGGAGTCCTAAGTAAATTAAACTTCTTAGTAAATTAGGATTTATTTCTATAAATACACATTCAATCTCAAAGTTTTGGTAAAAGGGAGAAACAATATAATTTGGGTGCTCCAAGGGTGATCTCTAGAATTCTTAGAGAAGGTTAAGAGAAAAATTATTAAGTTTATGTAAGAGGTATATAAGAGGAGTAGTAATGGGAATAACTCAAAGGCTTTATAATTAATCTCATATATTCAAAATTTTATTTTTTATTTTATTTAAAAAAATATAAATAAAAGTTTTTTAAATCTTGCATCGACATTCTAGTATATTTTTTATTATTAATCTCTAAATATTTTTTTCTATTTTAAAATTCTTCTTTCCCTCTCTAACATGCTATTAGTCTCTTCTTGTTGTCACCTATATTAATGCTCAACTTTGGTGGCTGCCTATATTAAGTGTAACCTTCCAACTAGGTTCAAATTTAATGGGGAATCACATATGTCAACATTAATGCTAAAATGTTTGACTTACAAAATTGATGTCAGTTCCCAACAAAGATCATTCAACACTCAGGTTAGCTTACGATATCTAGTCAGAAAAATAAAAGTATCATCAGTTATATGAAAAAAAACATATGTAATTTGCTAGAATATTTGCTAATAGGGTGCTAATGTGAATATTTGCTAGGAGTAGTAGACATGGTTTTGGTTATTCATGTATAATTTTATGTATATCAATGTAAAAGTTTCTCAAATCCTTTTTTGTTGTATATATTAATATCTTAATCTTTTATTTTAAATTATTTAACTCAAGTTAATATATAAATATTAGAGAGAGATGTTCATATCTTTCTTTCACCTATATCTCATCCTTTGTTCCAGCTTCACTTCCTAGTCCAAAACAAATACTAGTGTTATTGGTTGTCTCATAATAAGAATATGAGAATCTAAACAACCCTAACATGACAAATGTAACCAAACAAAAAGAATAAATTAAAGAGTTAATACAACGAGAGAGAAAACATCTCCTTATGAGGTCAAATAGTTTTTGCATAAGAGTGGGTCAATTTCGTTTGAGATACATCACTAGACCCACTTGGTCAAATCCGTTGACTTACCATTGCCAAATGAATAGGTCAACTCTCCAAATATAACCTAACCAAATACTTTCTTTATGCTTAACCTATTTACCTAATACATAAACATCCAACTGTTTGGTGTTACTCCCTACACCTAATCATAAAACATCCACACATGACAAAAGCATTCAAAGTATATTCATATGTTTGATGCTCCCATCAATATTGAAAGTGTCCAAATTATTTTAAAACATCCACACATGACAAATGCATCAAAAATGTTGATGCTTTCTAAATAGGCAAGTATATATACAAAGTATATTCATATCCAATGTATCCATTCGGAGAATAACACGCCTATACCTTCTAACTATTTTTAATACAAATAATAATTATTAAGTATCTAACAAATATTATGCTCCAACAAAAACTAAACATTTAGAAGTGGAATAGGGGACAACTCTGATAGTTATATGCATCTAATCGTGATTCGAACACAGAGTCTAATCAATATTCCAGATGGATGCATATACGATGTCTCTGATTATGAACTCTCAAGCTAATCTTCTCTTCTTCCCATCCTCTGCATTTGCCTGCTTGTGCAGATGAGACAATAAAATGACGTTGGAAGGTTCAAATCCGCGTCTCCACATGCTCACGGACTTTGATATTTTTGGTGGCATCGGTAGTTCAGTGTTGAGTCTTGTAAAGAGTGTGCCACATTTTGTAGGTTTTGCATAGAACCCATGCTGGCTGGCATGAGTTTTATTCTAGTTTTTGTTGGTTAGCACATACCGATGTATCAGTGACACACTCATGTATGAAATGTTAATAATTGCTTTCGGTAGTTAAGATATTTTGGGTCATATTTGGCGTTCAAAGTCAATAGAGCTTTGCGTTAGTGTTTTCTAATAAAAAAATTGTTGAGAGAGTTATTTAATTTGATTTTATATGTTTTAGTGGTGTTTAAAGATCTGTGTTGGTACTTATGATTTATTTAATCTTAACTACCAACTTGGATCAGACGACATAGGGAGTTCAGACTAGGACAACTCATTTTGATGCACTTCAGCTGATTCAGATTGGCTTTAGAAGGAACTCAAAACTTTGGTATCTATGCTGGAGCCAAATGAAATGATTTAGTTTGATTTGTTGATCTTGTATATGTATATATGGAGCTTGTTTTCTGTTGGTTCTTTGGATTGTTTGTGCTTCAAGACCAGCTCTCAATTTCTTGTACCTAAATCTTTTCAGTACCTGTGTATACTTTCCAGTCATGTTAATGGGACTTGGTGTGGGCTCCATGATTGGTTTTCCTTACTTGGGTTTTAAGTTTTTCACTTTTTCAATTCAGCACAAGGTTTACCAGTTGAAATTTGGTTGACATCTAGTTGTAAAATTTTATGAAATCTTCCATGCAGCCATATTAAATTTCAACGGCACTTTAGAGCTTAAGCCTTGCTGACATCAGGTTGCTTCACATATTTCTCAAAAGATTGCCTTTTTAGGTCTTGTGAGTTGTTCCACAATTGAGGATGAGGAAGAGGATAAGGAGAATGACGAAGAAGACACGAACAAGAGACACTTTGGCCCCCCCCCAAAAAGGGAAGAAGTAATTTTTTGTTCTTAGATTTTCTTGGAGCCCCTTATCTTATTACTTTGTGTTATATTTTGGGGCACAAGTGCTTGCTTAGGATAGTGGTTATGCATAAGAAGAATAAACTTTATCTCTGAGATGTGGTATTGAGCTAATTTGTTCCCAAGTACAAAGCCTCTCTCTTAGTAAACAAGTGCTTCTTATGGTCAATGTTAGATCAAGCATTTTGATGAGCTAAATGATTATGGCTGCTGAGCAAAAGAGAAACAGCTGAATGAGACTGCCGAACTCTTATGAGCTTCGTGATGACTTCTCTTAGGAAGCACCATGATTCTGTTTCATCCTCCACTGTTGCTGTTACACCTCTATTTGTTTCTTAGAGCGCATCATAATATGTTACACCTCTATTTGTTTCTTAGAGCGCATCATAATATGCTCCTCCTCAGACATTCCTGTCTTCAGGAATATATGGTTTGTCAACAGGTTGTGAACGTGAAATCTTCGACTATGAAAACAGCATCAAAACACAGTTGTTATAATATGTTATGCTGGCCATTTGCGAGGCACAACACAATGGTGAAGAACACATACTCGTCCTCCATTCTATGAACGCTACATTCATCACAATCACAGCGGGAATGCAGCCCGATTAAAGTGAGAAGAAGAAGAAGAAAGGTAGAAGAAGATGCGCAGTTCGATCAGGCGAGGGTGATGGAGGAGAAGTCGAGCTGCGAGGCGATCTCGTCGAGCTGCTTCTTGACGCTCATGTCGATGAACTTGGACCCCGACGATCCGTACCGGATGGTGAACCCGGCGATGAGCGAGGGGTCGAGCACCGCCTTGATCCTCACCTTCTTCGCCCCGGTGAGCCTCTTCACCGTCTGCGCGATCTGGGCGACGTCATCCTCCCCCATGTCCACCACCGACGTCACCACCGCGAGCTCCGTCCCCGTGATGTGGTTGTAGCACGCGTCGAATTCCTTCACGATCTCGGCGATGATGTCGATCCGGCTCATGTCCACGAGGATGTTGAGGAAGTTGATGGTGTGCGGCTGCAGCTCGGAGGAGCCGGAGATCTCCGCCAAGATCTCCCGCTTCTTCTCCGACGCCACCGTGGGGTTGGCGAAGAAGGACTGCACCGCCGGGTCCGCGAAGAGGCGGTCCACCTTCTCCATGTCGGCCACCGTCGCCTCCAGGGTGCCGTTCGACTTCGCCACTTCCGCGAGGGCGTTTGCGTAGCTCGACGCGACCGTGTCCATCATGGCGGCGCCGGCTGCCCCGCGGTGGGGCGGCTCCGGGAGAGCTTGAGGGAGGGGAGGCGGAGGCGGCGGGCGGAGCGAAGGCGGAGGAGGGAGGAGGATACGGGGACCGAGGCGGCTGGGGAGGACGCGGCGGATGCGCGGAGACCGGCGGTGGACGAGCGGAGGGCGGCCATCACGGCTCTCTTCCTCTTGGTAGTGTGAAGAGGGAGGGAGACGGCGGCGTGGGAAGACTCATTTTATGGTCGAGACTTCCCCACGGTCTAGATTTATGATCGAGACCGATCGGACGGCCGTAATGTAAGTATGATCTTATCTCCTAGTTGCATCAATTGGAACGGCGGCCTCAGAGATCCAGCGCAAATGACAGATGGACACGTGGTTAATCCATGGATGAGGTTATATGCAAGCGGACAATTCCCGCCTCGAAGAGATCTCTGCCGATCGACGGCTTTGATCGCCTGGGTAATTTCCTGGGTATAGCGTTATGAGTGCAAAAATAATTTCAGTCTTCCCAATTCAATATCGTTATTTCCTTCCAAGGCTAATAATAATACACATGGATTTGAGTTCATATTATTTATATTTTTTGACATGAAAAATAAGAGTATTTATTACATTGACAACTGTTTTGATATCATGATGGATCAAAATTTTCGAATACATCACCGTATAAAACTCCTATAATAGCCTTTCAGAAACGAGTTTAATTGGATTCGGGTGTAGTAAACGGGTCTCTACCCGTTGCCAGTAGGAAGGGGAGGCATGACCGTTAAACTGCTGATGTCATCCCAACTGGCCAAAATGGGTAAACCCAATAACTTGATCTCCTTTAACTTCATTTATGAGGAATAAAAACCCGCGACTCTTAGAACCCTGCTTCCGCTGTCTTAGTGCTTAAGGGGTCTCCGGCAAGAAGGTGAGCAGGGCAAGGCCTTCTGAGCCCTAATGCTCATGTGCTTTCCAAGGAAGGAAGCTCCCCTACTATTCTCTTTCTCTACGCGAAGACGGCGACTTGCGGCTGCGGGAAGCTGGCGAGAATAGCGGGGGCCATGGCGATGGGGGTTTCCGCCGGTGGAGGTGTCCTCAGGCACCTTTCTCCATCGTTCACTTCTCCCTGGTTCTCCTCGTGCCTCCGCCGCGCGGTCTGCGGCATCCCATTGTCCTCGCGGGTCTCCCAAGGCCCGTGCTTTCTAGGGTATTGCCTTCGTCTTCTTTTTCCTTGTGCATGCACATCTTTTTCCTTGCTCGGTGGTTCACCATCCTTTTATTGGGCGTAGTGTTGAATTCGTATTTTTTCTTCCAAATATATCAATTTTCTTTCTTTTGGTTTTTTGTAATTGAACATCCCTCGGTTGTTCGTCATTTTGGTAAGAATTGTAACTTTATCTGCGGAACACAGTTGATCGTTTAGCCTGTCGAACACTTTCTTCCTCCTATATTATGAAGAGAATATAAATCAGCAATAGAAGGCCCAAGTAGACTAAGGAAAGTTCGTTGGGTTTCTTATGCATGACGTTGAAAGTTGTGGCTCTGGTCATTTAGTCGCAAACGTGATTTTTTTTTGTTTTTCGTTAATATAACTTCAAGGTTATTTTTTTCCTATTGGAGTATTGTCTGAGCATGATTCTGCTGGTTTCTATGGTCTTCCATGAAGAAATCGATTCAATACTTGATAAAATGGTTTTCCTAGCATTCTAGATGTTTGTCCGGATCATCAATAACAACTTTAGGAAAAAAATAGCACATTTCCCAAGATAAAACATAAATTTGTTTTCTCTTCTTCCATTTATAGGGAAGAAGGTTCCAGGCTTATGTGGCATGTAGCAACTACCAGAGTGAGGTGTGAGAAAATGGTTCGTTCCACTTCGTTTCAAATCAAGGGCGGAAAGATCAACATGTTACACTCAGATTCTCATCCTAAAATTGGAAGTTCAATGGAGCCAGATTCTCAAGAGTCGCCCCATCCTTCAAGATACGTTTCACCCCCAAGACAAGAAGGCAGAACAGAATCCCACTCCACTAAACCTGATAAATCTTTAACACATGTTCAAGAGCCTTGTGATCCTGTTTTAGCAGAACGAAATGCTGTACCTGGTGAGGCTGTAGGTTCCAATGGAATGTACATCAATGGGCAAGATAATGGGACATCTTCTGATACGATTCCGTCTGTTGAGGATTTGCATAAGGTGGTAGACCAGAAACAACTTGCTCGTGTATACAACAAAGTAATTGTGGTTGATAATGTATCAACAGCTAGACTAGTATCCCGATTACTTACGACTAAGTACAAGAATTTCATCCATGCATGTGATACAGGGGTGAGTTGACAGAGCATATTCCTTTACCTGCTAGTATGTGGCACAATTTCTTGGAGTGGAAATTGCTTGGAGTCAGTCTCATTGTGAATGTACACTAAGCTTTTGCAATTAATGTAGACAATTTAAAGGACTAAATGTCTTACATGAAAACACCTTATGGTGACTACCACTTTTATAGCCTGAAATGGCTGTCCCGAGGGCAATATCACTAACTATATGCATCGATCTTGCGGGTTTGCTAGATCGATCATATCCCATCATTGAGCTTAGAGGGCAATTACTAGCCAAGCTAAGGGCTGCCACTATCCTAATACATTCTTTTTGTAAAAGAACTAATATTTTTTAACCCCTCCTGGGAACAATATTATGGATTAACACAACTGTGCTAATCGGTGCATCAATAGTTCTTTGTTGGATGTCCAAATTACCTTAAAAAAGTGACTTCTTTTTTAAGCCTTGATCGGTCCCCACCTGTGATCGTTCATGAATACATGCTTTCTTATTCTAGCTCAAACACCTTTTGAACTTTCTCATCTAGATGGTATTAACTTATAATATATGTTGTTTCCTAACCTTCATCCAAATGGCTGTCCCATTTGTCATAAATTGCATATACTGTCTTGTTCTTTAGCATCCACATCATTTCTCTATGGTAGTTCTTTTTTTATGAATGAATTGTTTGTTTATGCTCGATGTCTGTTAGTACAGATTTAAGTTATGTTTAGAATATTACATTAACCCACAGTTAAAATCATAAAAATAGCCGATTGGTTATGGTAGTTGTGTCAAAGATGCCTCAACCATTAACGTTTAGGCACCATGGATGCAGTTCTTATATTTCCTCAGCTCCGTTGTTTGCTTCAGTTTTTTCTGCATGCATCATATCTTGTTGTTGTATACTCCAACAATATCCATACTCATGATCTCTTGAAAAATCCATGCACTTTAAATATTCATATAGATCTGCAGGTTCTTGACTCTCACTCACTCTCATATTTTCTGACTTATTTCAGTTTACTTTTTCTCCAATAGGTTGCCAAAATCGATGTAATGTCTGAGACGCCAGTTGGACATGGAGAGCTCATATGCTTTAGTATTTACTCTGGTCCACTAGCACATTTTGGAAATGGAAAGTCTTGTATCTGGGTTGATGTTTTGGATGGTGGAAGGAATGTTTTGGATGAGTTTGTTCCATTCTTTGAAGATTCATCCATCAAGAAGGTGGTATTTTTTTGAAAGTCTGACCATATTTCTGAAGTCCAGATGCAATTCTTAATTCCATCTTTAATTACTCTAGGATCTATTTATTATACTTTTTTTGGTCAATGCTACATTGTAATATGTATTTTTATTATAACAAATAGCATATAGAGAACAAATGTGCTGACATTCTCTAGATGGACGTCTTTGAATTGCTGCATGATGCTTTAGATTCTTTACCTGTTTTACATGTTTGTTTGATTCGAAATCCTCTACTTGTTCTTGTAGTTTACTTCAGCCTATCTCATGTTCTATAAGTAAAAACATATATACACAACATATATGTCATGCAGAATCTTGCAACAACTAATATGGGAATTAACTACATCATCAGATTGCTTAAATAATTTGATTTTTTATTTGCCAAATGGACTGGAAACCTAGATGCGAAAGTCATGTTGTAAACCAATGATCGTTGCATCAGGTACTAAACCTGTTTCAGTGATTTGGTCAGACTGGTACATGTCGGTTAGTACGGTGTACCATGTATCGTAACACCGGTACTGGTGTTTCAAAGAGGAAAAAAAAGAGGGAGAAGATGGAGGGACGGTGGTGGAATGAAAGAAAGAAGAGGAAGGAAGAAGAGGAGGTAGCAGACGGAGGAGGAAGAAGAAGGACGAAGGGGAAGTGGAGAAGGAGGAGGAAGAAAGAAGAAGACGGAGTGAAGGAGGAGGAGGAAGAAGAAGGAAGAAGATGGAGCGATGGAGGAGAAGGAAGAAGGGGAAGCAATGGAGGATGAGGAATAAGGAAGAAGAGGAGAAGAGGACGGCATGTACCAGAGATAAACAAAGGCGAACAAGTGGGTGATGCTTAACGGCAACCTCGATGGCAACGATGCCGTGAGAAACGGGGTTAAATGGGTTGCAAGCCCTGATCAAGGGCGGCATCACATGCAGTTATAGTTATTTTGGGTTTTTGTTTATATATGCTTTGGACTGGACTGCTTGAAACAGAAGCAGTTCGTGTTTTGGTCTATGGCCGAATTGGTACATACCACCCGTTTCATATTGGGCGGTACAATGGTCCTTGGCGTAAACGATATTAGGTGCCATTAACAATTTAAGCTGGTATATTTTTGAGCTTGAGGGTTGTGAGTGAGAAAATGCTAGTTGGATGTTCGGATCTCTTGTTGAAACATTAGCTACTAGTCATGGGTGTTAAATTTTAATCTGTTTCTTATGATTTTCTCAGTACTTGTCCAAATGTGATTGGTGAAACATTAGCTACCTGTCATGGGTGTTAAATTTGAATCTGCTTCTCATGATTCTCTCAGCACTTGTCCAAATGTGATTGTTGAGATCACAATTTTACGACATGGAATATGCTTCACAATTACATGTTTCACAGTTACGTTGCAACATTGGCATGCCCCCTCATGGCATGGACCCTGAATGGGTACTGCTGGGGCCAGTAGGCTAAGACTGACAGAGACCAAAATCTAAATCTATATTAAGAGACAAGACTAGAAATATCTACATATCTATTAGTTCATATCATTCGTGGCTTATGGATAAGTTGGTGAAATACAACATCATGCCTTTGTGAGATACAAACTCAAGTGAAATACAACATCATACCTCCGAACTCCGATATCAATTTTATGTAGAATATAAACTCTGATACCAAATCTGATATAGGACAAGATACATTGAAGATACTTGGAACAAAGAAAAGAATTTTCTTTCTAGGATTTGGTAGTTGTTGAATAAAGAAAAAAAATATCAATCGAGAGTCTCACATCACTGACATATAATATGGAAAAAGGAACTCATTCATTCATTCATCCATTTTCTGATCTTCAATTACAATGTTTTTTCCTTTTATATAGACACCAAGTACAGCTGAAGAAAAGAAAAAAAAATGAAAATGAGGAAGAATTCATTAACTCCCATTTCTATTTTCCATATTTTTGATAAATAATATTTGTTGATGAAATGTTTGATTGATAGACTTCTTTTTTTTGTAAAAATTCTTCAATATTGATGAAATTTTCTTGTAGGATAAAATTTTGAATAAACCCTAAGTCTTGCAATCAAACCCAAAATGTATTTCCTTCTTGTTCAGCTTCCTTTTCTTACTTTTGACAATCTTTATAACTAATATACAATTCTAGAAAATGTTACCTATAACAACTTATTACATTTTGTAAAAGACCCCTAAACTAATAAAATTTCATTTAAAAGAAAAATCAACCAAAATGGTCTCACATCACTCAGCATCAGTGATTCAAGGTAAATGATCTGGAGCTAGATCTCACTTGCATCTGACTCAGGTTCTCCTTACATTCATGTCTAAGGTTAGGTGCTACCTCAACCCTTAATGTCGACCCCTGTGATTCATGACTGATCTGTTATATCAGTGAGTGAGGGGTCAGCCTTTTAAGAATGGAATTCTTTTCCCTCGTGAGTTTCCATATTTTCTTTTGTTTTCATGCATGGTAAGGAACCACTATACCTCTGAATCAAATTATTGCGACCATATCCTTGCGGTATCCTCTGAAGTTTGACATTACCTGTAAGTTGACACAGGAAAAGAATAAAAAATGAGAAGCAATCAGATGTGGCAGGTTAGATGGAGGTGGGCTAACAATTTACACCCAATGAAGGGTTATTTAGGATACTTCAGAGTAGACCAGAATGTGAATCTTTCAATTTTTGGTGGAAGGTGGTATTGTCAGTCAGACTGATACTGGTGATAACCTGACTGGTTCTAGACCAAAATGGTTTGGTATTTTGGTTCACACATATAAAGGACAGCGCAAATCGGGTTCAAAGCCCGAAGCAACGTTTTGAGAAAACAAGGAGATTGTCAAACTCATGAAAGGACTGTATGCTAGTTGAAATTTCTCTCAGTCTAAATAGAAACTAACAGGTGTGGCAATCCTTGTTGACATCCACCTTTTTCAGAGTTTTATTTTACATATGACAACTACTATTAATTTGTTTGTCTCCAGATTTATGTTTGAAGCCAAACAGATCTTATTAGTTTGCTAGCATAAATGGATTCATTTTTTCTGTGCATGAACCACTTGCATCATAATCGAAGTTCTCTGGAGTGGCACTGCTAATGATTAGGTGTCCAGCAGCATGGGCCATGGTTAATTAAATATATTTTCTTTCATGTGACTTATACTGATTGTCTTAAAACAGAGTCTCGGTATACTACAAATTGATAAGATAAGGTTGATAATCACTTTTTGTTCTTATGTTGTGGTATCTCAAAAGCTCTATAAAAATTAGTAACTTGTTTTCTCTTTTTGCTAAAATCTATAGTTTCATAGATTAATCTTATTTATTGTCATTCTTTTGTGATTGCTAATTTAGTCTGTATTAGGTCCAGGACTAACGTGGAAGTTTTTCCTCTTTGAATGTCAAGTATAGACCTGGGTTGCATCTCTGATTCTCTCTGAAGTTTGATGATTGTATGTTCTTGTTCAAGGCTACTAGTAATACAAATGTTCTCGTTCTCATCTTTGTAGGTTTGGCATAATTATAGCTTTGATAGTCATGTGCTAGGAAACTATGGGATCAAGCTTTCTGGTTTCCATGCAGATACCATGCATCTTGCACGTCTTTTTGATTCTTCTAGAAGAGCGAATGGAGGATATTCACTTGAAGCGCTTACAAATGATCCAAAGATCATGTCGTTCGATGATGAACTGAAAATGGGAAAGATAACAATGAAATCCATTTTTGGTAAAAGAAAGTTAAAGAAAGATGGATCTGAGGGAAAACTTATCACGCTTGCTCCTGTTGATGTGCTTCAAAGAGAAGAACGAATATCATGGATTTGCTACTCTGCTTTAGACTCGATAAGTACTTTTAAACTTTTTGATAACTTGAAAGCTAGGCTTGAGCTTGAACCATGGACTCTTGTTGATATTGTAAGAGGTACAATGTATGATTTTTATGAAGAGTATTGGCGCCCATTTGGTGTTCTGTTAGTGCAAATGGAATCTGAGGGAATGCTTGTTGACCGAAGTCATCTATTGGAGATAGAAAAGCTTGCTATTACTGAAAAGCAAATAGCTTCAGATAAATTCAGGAAATGGGCGTCTAAGTACTGTCCTGATGCTATGTATAT